TGGAGGCCATCGCTACTAGGGCGGGCGCCATTGCTACTAGGGTGGAGGCCATCGCTACTAGGGTGGAGGCCATCGCCACTAGGACTAGGGTGGAGACCATCGCTACTAGGGTGCAGGCCATCGCCACTAGGGTGGAGGCCACTCCTACTAGAATTCTTTCAATTCGAGCAAAGGCAGGTCTGTTCACCAGAATCAGCTGATGTTGACCTATCTAGTCCTCATGCGGCGTTGAAATGTCAGCTGTCAGCGCCTGCAGCCTGAGCGCCTCGAATGTCTTTCCCAACGTTGTCGCCAACCATGACCTGATTTGAGGAAAAAACGTTAGAGTCTTGGTGTTGGGCCTTGGAGCAAATAACATCAAATAGCTAGCAACCTGTTCTCACTGTTGATTGAACGTTTTCGACACTGGGCATCCCGGGCCAACTGATTGGGCAAGCAGCCTGATTTGGCCTCGCAAAGTTTGAACATCCGCAGGTCCGGCTTTGGAGCGCCCGCCTGTGAACGACCCAACGCCCGGACAAAGGTTGGCGGCTTTTCGGGGTGCGACGGTCGAAGAGATGCTGAGGAAAACGGGTGCTGTCACATATAACAGATGCCAAAAGCTCTGCCACATATAACTGTGCGCTTCTCGCCTCGATGTTTGATTGCGTTGCAAGGCATTTCCGTTGTATTTTCTGTCAAATGTGTTCGTCTGGCTTTTTGTGTCCTCTCTCCAAAGCCCGTCTCCTCAACTGAGTTCACATGAAAGTCGATCAAGTCTTTCCTGAGTCGACAAGTGAACAGCATCAGCTTCTTTTGTGGGCTGTCGCTCGTTGCTGTCAAGGGAAGGAAGAGATGTTTCAATCAAAGTGGAATCACAAAAGTGCGGAATCCCTAAAAGTTTGCACTGGAGAAGCTGGAACAATTCTGAGACAAAACCGGTCTACAAACTTCCTTCAGCCTTCGACGCTCCAAGCATCAAAGGGCTGATAACGAAGGGATCCGCGTTACCATCTGTCAGTGTACCTACCAACACCATGGCATTGCGGCATCGCCCATGGCGTGACAAGTTGGAACTGCAAAACCGAACTCGAATATAACTTGGCCTAGACTCTTGTTACCAGTAGTTACTAGTAGTAAGACCAGGAGCCCCTAGTAGCGTCCTTGCTCCTAGTAGCGATGCCAGGAGCCCCTAGTAGCTTCTTATACGCCTAGACTCTATTTTGTATACTAAAACCAAAGAGATTGAAAAACGACATCACTCACATTCTCCGAAAGCAGGTTTGCTTTGCTTCCCGATGCTTTGCTGTGCGTGCAAATCTGCAAATGAAAATGTTGGCGCTGAGCAGCCGATCTTCATCGTCCTTTTAAGCCTCCGTAGCATCTCCTCGGCGCCGTCAAAGAGCGTCGGCTCATTCCTCGCCTTGTGCCAAGCCACGAAGACACGCTCCGCCAACATGGCATCTCCTACACGTGCAACGCAATTGTGTTCCTACACGCTCGCCACACCGAAAGTTCTGGAAGATGACTTGTGTTGAGATCACACAAGTCTGCAGAGTTGAAAATGCACAGTATCCAGAATTGTACCCTGGAACGACAAGTGCACACGTTTTGGCACGTAAAGCCGCAGTTATCAGCTCCAAAAGGGAAGCGCCGCAAGCAAGTTATGAGCCCAAAGCTTTAGCTTTAAGACCCAGTTTGAGGAGATTGATTTCCACTCAACAAATAGTGTGGTGGCATTCCACCAACAGCCAGACTGTCCTAGCAGTCCAGCAAAGTTCAAGGAAAAACATGGAAAAATCCTACGAGGTGTGTGCCAGTACAGCACACAGAACCACAAGCACCACAACATGACCTCCGAGTTCTTGCAGGATGAGAAGGCTGCACGCTGAAGAAAGATATGGAAGGCTGCACACAGTGTGTGTGCGTGTGTGCAATGATGCTGGAGTTCCTGGAGTACCAATCTCTGAGTGGACGGGGCTTTGAGCTGAGAGCTCGCTTTTAACTTTTGCAGGCAGCCAACACGCAAATGAGAGATGTCTGGGAGGCGTGCAGGCTTTAAACTGCACGAAATCAAGCAGTTTAGCATGAAAGGGTCTGCACACCTGTCAACATTCAGTGTAGATAACACGCACAAATCAAGACATGTATCGACGTGAAAATGCTTTTACCAGCTAAAATACGAGCTGCGCTACGAAAGGAGAATCAATCTGGCAACAAAACTGATGTCTTTTGGCTAGAAGCTACATGAAGCTACTCGGAACAAGGGCATCGCTACTAGGGGCTCCTGGCCTTACTAACAGGAGCATTCTTGCTACTAGGAACAAGAAGCTATTAGTAACAAGTGCATCGCTTCTAGTAACAAGTGCCTTACTACTAGTAACAAGGACGCTACTAGGAACAAGAAGCTATTAGGCTGATGTCTTTTGGCTTGGGCCCTTGGGCCCATCCACTCGTCCCAATCCTGTCATCCTCATCAGCGCTTCCCGCCGACAGAAGCCAAAGTCGTGCTCGCGCCTGCAGAGACTTTTGCACCATGGACAAAGGAAAAACACGCAAGAACAACCCGGCAGAAAACTTTTGGCAAACCGCTTGAAGTGATTTGGGGGTTTTGCATACAGGTTTAAACGTTTAAACATGGTGGATCAAAATGCTTTTGCACACGAGCAGGCGCTCAGGAAAGTCCTTCTGCACTGCTCGCATTCGATCCCGAAACTGCTCAGGAGATTCTATTGGCTCCTCAGGCAGTTCAGTCTGCAGAGCGTTGTTCATGACCTGCCAATCTCCAGCAGAACAAAATCCCAAAAAAGAAAAAACACCAAAACTGCAACGATGAGCACTGTATGAGTTGCATGAATCATCATGAACCTACCACTTGTAAAACGTCTTTACATGTTTATGCAAACACTTTGGCGCCTCATGGGCATGCTCCAGAGTTGCAGCAGTGCTCCACAGGGTGTCGTCCAAATCAAAGACCACACATTGGATGCCCGTCATGGCAGCACTGAAACACTGTCGAATGATCTTTACAGTCCGCATTCGCTGCGACGCCGGCCAAAAGAAATGACCAAGAGTATTCTTACAAAGCACTCCAAAAAGCTTGTGTTCCTTCGGAGTCTCTGTAGCTGAAAACTGAACCTGGTAGCTTTCACTGGACCGTTCAGTGAATTTGCTTTGTTTGAATGGATGGCTACTCTGGTGTGCTACCTTGTTGCCCATGAGCCTACTGGTCTGTGAGCAGGCCAGTGGGGTTCGCAGTGTCTTTGGGTCTTCCGACATCAAGTCAACCCCCCCAATGAGCTGACATTGAACCAAGACAAGTCCAACATGAGTTAAAGGTCCTTGAGATTCTTTCAACTCTTCAGATCAAAGAAAAACTGCCTGCTACCATAACCAAACTGGCAATTCTGTGGCCGTCAGAAAACCCCATAGGTCCCATTTCCCTTCGTCTTGAAAGGCCATACTCGTCGAACTCATCTCTCTGAGCTGAGACGTGCTCTGCTACCTGGGCCTCCAACGCAGCTTGTCCCGTCTGCACCGAAGCAGCGTGGAGGTAATACCGCTCAGGGTCTAACCTTGGAATCAGGGTCTTTGGAATGCAAGAATCGATAGTTCATTAGTTTTGTGTGTTCTGCTTCTACATGTTCAGTCAATGATGTGTGGCATGTCCAAACTTCTTGTCATGAATGTACACAATGCACGACTCCTACGTTGCACGAGGGTTACCGGATTCTCTGCCGAATAGGATAAACCATGACACGCACATAGCTGGGCTTCCTGGCTGCAAGTCTGGATTCCAGGCCTCTGCGCCAATGATGGTCGCCTCCCTCACGACGGCAATCGTGTACCTGGAATCCAGGCAAGTTCAGTGGGAAGTTTGGTGCCACACTTTTATAAACAAAAGAAAACGTCTGCTTTGTCTGTTCCACGAACATTCAGACTGCTCGCACCAAATCTTCCGCCAGGGATCATAGGCACCATGGGAAGAAAAGGCCTGGACTCCACTGGAGCGAAAGAAAAGGAAGAAAGGTCCAATAGTAGCTTCTTGTTCCTAGTAGTACCAGGAGCCACTAGTAGCGTCCTTGCTCCTAGTAGCGATGCCCTTTGTTTCTAGTAGCTTCTTTGCTACTATAGTCATCTCATCTCTGATGAACTTTCTGCATCAAAGCATAAGATACCTGGAAGTCGTACTGCACGAACACCTTGGTGCACACACCGCAATAGGTCAATAAGCGTCAGTAAAATATGAACAAGTCATGGGTTTTCTCCAAGCTCTATCCATCGTTCTTTCTATTATGCATGCTTTATTGAGGAAAAAAACAAAAACACGCAAACCTTTGCATGATGACTGTGTCTTTTCAGTCACCCTTTCAGGTCTCCAAAAACTCAGTGCCAAGCGCCCCAGAAGGACGGCGGTCCCCCGCAAATGGGGTTCTCGTAAAACTTGCACTGGTAGGTGCAATAGGTACTATCGACTTCCGAGAAGGTCTGGCACCAACGCAAGATTTGGCTTTGAAAAACTGCCACTTGCTGTGATTTCCATGCCCAAGGAAGGACATTCCACAAACATCTTTCCGCGTGGAAACACCTTCCTTTGCAACGCTTGCCCGGACAAGGCCTTCACCTTTGGGGATGCAGTGCAATGATTAATTAATAGCAATGGCCTCCAACATACTGGCTGCTTGCTGCTAGCAATGGCCTACGAGCCTCCATGACTTCCATCCCGCCTCGGGAAGCGTCCCCACATGGCAGCCGCAACGTGGCCCATGCACGGCTGCGACAATCTCTGCAGGCCGAACGTTGGGATACCGCGCTCGGCAGACCTGGCACCGAGGGCCGCTCGGTCGATGGCCCGCTCGCGTGAGAAACAGAAAGCGACTGAACAAAGAAGACAGAGACGAAGTACATGAGTAGATTTCAACAAACGTTCAAGATATGAAGCTTCGAGAAACTGCTTTGGCTTGTCAATGTTCTCAAAGTAGGTCACAGAAAGGGAGAAAAAAACACAAGTCTGTCTTAGTTCCAGCACCTCTGTCGCATGTGTCACGAATCCAGGTCAGTCTGCTTGCGTTCTTCCAACTTCTCTCATCAATTAGACCCCAGCTACCCCAAAAGACCTACTCCGAAAGAGCCGAGAACGCTTTTTGGAAGTCTGAACATGTCCAAGCACGAGAACAGCTCCCTGTTCTCCATGCCCTTGAAAAAACGGAACATCGCCTCCACACAGGCGGAGGGGTCAAAGTGCGCATCCTGCTCGGCATCTCTGGTAATGGCCATCGATGCCTCATCGGTGCTGGCGCACCATGTGTGTCACAGAGCCTTCTCTTGGAGTGTTGACTCAAGATGTATGTGTTTGTTTATTGTTACTAATGGCAAACATTGTTACTACTAGTAAGGCACTTGTTACTAGAAGCGATGCACTTGTTGCTAATAGCTTCTTGTTACTACTAGTAAGGCACCTGTTACTACTAGCGTGGCACTTGTTACTAGTAGCTTCTTGTTACTACTAGTAAGGCACTTGTTACTAGAAGCGATGCACTTGTTGCTAATAGCTTCTTGTTACTACTAGTAAGGCACCTGTTACTACTAGCGTGGCACTTGTTACTACTAGCTTATGTAATGGTCACAAAAAGCCGGAATTTACTGCCAAGTATGGGCATCAAGTTGCACAAGGGGAACTGCTAGAACAAAGGAAGGTCGTTGCCGCGATCTTTCAAAGCCTCTCTCTAAATGACAAATGATAAAATCGAGCAAAAATTGGCACAAGTCCAAGTTCCCAGCAATAAAGCAGCCGATATGCACATACTGTGACAAATTCTTGGCCGCCGTATCTTCCTCCAAACACAGACTGAATCGAACAATGAATGCCTTGATTGCACAAGACTTGAAGTCAGGCGGAATACGGCTGAATCAAAAAGAACAATCTTGCAAACTGCTGTCATGAAACTTGGAGAATACAACACATTCGTTTGCAAATGCAACACATTCGTGCTCTGTCCTGCACCCCGAGTCGATTCAGAGGCTCAATCAAGGGGGCCTGGTACGGGATCCCCTGAGGCGAGCCGGGGTGTCCAAAAAAGAAAGCTCCAAAGTTTACAGCGAAATGTCAAGTTGTAATATCATAAGTCTCCCAGATGTTTATAATGTACAGAAAATCATGATAAGCAGTGTCTAAGCATCCTTGTTCGGAAAGGGTAAATAAAGTGCAAGACTCAAGGCCTTTCTGCAAAATAACAGGCTTTGACTTGCTGGCAGTGTCATGCATAGACAACAAAATGAAAGGAATAGCCGTGCCAATTGCTCAGAACGAATGCTCTGTCTCAGACAGGCATCGCTGAAATTTGCCCTCAGCCGCCCACCGTGCTGGTGTCAACGGCGGGTACATGGGCAATGCCCGACAAGGTAGAAGCATGCCTGGCGTCAGCACCGTCAGCACTGCCCATTCCATCCCAAGGTCTGACTTAGCTCCAACGTCCTTCGCAAAAAGAGCAGAATGGCCTCCAAGCTAGTAGCGATGGCCTCCAACCTAATAGCCATGGCCTCCAACCTAATAGCCATGGCTTCCAACCTATTAGCGATGGCCTTCGCCCTAATAGTGATGGCCTCCAAATGGGTAGCGGGGCGATAATATAATTCAAATTGCAACCCTCTGGAATCGTGCGGACATTTTGGCGGACCCCAACACACAAGAGCACCAGCCAGCCATTTCGTATGTGAAAGTCCAAGCTGCGCTCGCGGGAGCGCGACAAGCAGGAGGGTGCTCAACCACCTCGACATGCTAGATGTCTGGCAAGGACAGCATGGAAAAACTGCATCAGCTCATCATAGCAGGACATAAAGCTTTCTAGTATGTCTTTGAAGCTTTCTAGTAACTAGAAGCTACTAGATGGAGGCCATCGCTATTCGGTTGGACTCAAGAGAGACACACAAGACCGCCACACATCCACACCACCCGTTACACACCCGATGGAAAGGAGCCACGTTCTCACGCTAGCGATGCTGCCAGGCAACAGGAGCACGAACAACTGCCAGGCGCCCAGCCACCAGCGCGGGCGAAAGGTCCTGGGACTCTCCGAATGCAAAATCCGGGTGCAGAAACCATTGTTCATCAAACTGATAGGCCTGTTCACATCTTTCCCTTCTTTGTGGCCCTAATGCTCTGCCACAGGGCAAGGACTTTAAGATGCTGTTTGCGTTCAGGGCTGTGTCCATTGAAAGCAGTCTCTCGCCAGATCTCAAAGGACAAAATGTAGTTCAATGCTACTGGATCCCATTGTGCTCACCTAAAACAGCCACCAAATCTTCTCGCCAAGAAGCTACTAGTAACAAAGGGCATCGCTACTAGGAGCAAGGACGCTACTAAGGGCGCTCCTGGCCTTACTACTAGGAACAACAGGATGCGACACCTGTGGCAAGGAATGCCCCTGGGCCACCCTGCATCATCTCGGCCTTCGACATTGCGCGGCCTCAGATCATGACGTTTCTGCAACTGTCAGACATAGTTTGTTCGGCACGCTTACAAAACAAAGTGGGTGCAGCTCAACAACCAGAAAGGCAGAGATGAACCGTGTACACATGCAGACCGCTTCCTGATCCGTGGTTGTGTTTGGTTCTTCTGGTGTCCCTTTTCTGGACCGCTATTGTCGCCAGAAGCCATTCCCTGATCGCCTGGTTGACATTACTTGAGTCGGTTGATTATTGATGGGGTCAGTCCGTTACACGTGTCTGAAGAAAAGACTGGAAACATGATCCTTACTTGAGTCGACTGATTGAAGATAGAAATCTGCAACACTTTCTGAAAAAGAAATAGTGGAAAATGGTTCAAAACAAAGCATTGCAGTGCCACCGGGGAGCCATGGATCACTCCGCACGAGGAGGCGGAGCAGATTCGTGCATACGGGCCCAGGCTGGCAAAACTCTTGGTGCCATCACTGCTGCATGGCTAGCCGCTATCCTTCTATATGAGGATATATCATGGTTGATGCCTGCGTGTTTAAGACTTATCCAAAATTATATATTGCGCAAACAAACCAATGTGTCTTAGCAAAGAAATTGATGGAAGGTTCCCTAACGCGCCAACCACCGGCCGCGCCGGGTTTGAAACGGAACAAGCTGCACGTCACATCAGCATTCTTTAACACAAGAACATTCGCAAATCGACGAGTCGACAACAACATAAACACTGCATTTTTGGCAGCACAATTTTGAGAAATAATCAGTTTCAATGTTGTTTGCGCAGAGACTCGGAAACCACTGAAGGCTTTGCAAGACCTACAATTTTTGCTCTCTGTTCATTGTTATTGAATTGTGTACTTTAGCAGTTCCACGCGCCTTTACAAAAAACTTTACTTAATCTGTTAAAACCATGTAAATCCAATATTCTGTTCGCATCGCTCCCCTTTTGGTGTCAAAATTGAAAAACATTATGGCAACGCCCTTGCTGCACGCGCCGGCATGTTTTTTTTAAGGGGCTGCTGCTGATTTTTGGTCCGCTGGACAATGCAAACGGTCAGGGGGTTCCTTGACGCTCATCGAACGTGTGCAGAAACCCTTCAAGCATGAATGCCAGCGCCCTTCTCCCCTTCCCCACTAAAACCTACGGGTTTGGCATGGATGTAGGTTGATGACAGTATGTTTCTGGCAAAAAGCTTAATAGCAGTCGACAATAAATAGAGGTCATCTAGCGACCTGCCACTGCTAGGATATGGCGATTCACGAAAAACTGCCTTGAAAAGGTCATGAGCGGAAATAGCCTGACCATCCATTTTGAGAACACCAGCTCCTTGTGAGAGAAGTACGGAAGGCTCAAGGGTGCGCAGGACTCGTACACGCAAATAATTGTTCCAGTCAGTCGAGCCACACATGAACAGAAAGTAGCAACACTCCTATTTATTTTGAGCCAAAATGGTCAGGGCACCACTCTTGTTTATGAGGGTCCATGTCCCAAATCACCCAACCTGGACACGAGGTGATTCGAGTTTGTGTCCATTTTGGGACCACTTTTGCTCACTATACAGATAATCATCCGACAGCTTTCGCTATCGAAGATCGTCCTGAAAGTGCTTCAAAACCCATCGCCTTTAAATGGCGTTCTACTGCTTCACTAGCTAATGCTTTTGTACAAATGTCAGCTGTGTTCAACTTCGTGTCGATCTTAACCAGTTCGAACACCTTTTCTGCCAACTTCTTTTGAATCCAGAGAAATCGAATCTGGACGTGTCTCGATTTGAAACAGTCATGGACAGACGGCAATGGAGCACGGCTATTGCCATGCTGGTACCTGCCATCCACCTCCCGGATGATGCACTGCTGACACTGCTCAACCAGTGTGTGCCGGATCAAGGCATCACTGAAGGAGGCGCAGGCTCTCCTCCTACGTAACTTCCGAGTAGGTGGTGCTCAGGAAAGCGACTGTGCTGAATGGCTCACGGCAGTTCCAAGAGATCTTTTGCAGCCCATCCCCTTCCGGGAAGTTTTTGTGATCCTTGCGCTATTCCTGCCGCAACTCCCCTTTGCAGAGGGAGCACAGCTAGCCACTCAACTCTGGACCAGCCCAGTGATCCGTCGTCAGGCTACGGTAGTCCAAGGGACCCCGATAGCTCAAGGACTGCGAGGTATGAATGAATACCGTATCGCCTTCCCGGCCCACTCAGGGGCGGCAGCCTTCTGTGCGCAAGAGCCCACAGAGCAGCTGTTCAGAATGCCGTCAGACAAGATCCATGTCGGTTGTCAGGTTGGCAAAGTCTATCGCTTCGTAGTGCAAGAAGAAGCAGAAGCGTTTACCCTGCTCGGTGTCCTTTTAGAGTATGTAGCACAGCCCAAAAAGAAGTCTCAGAAAGGAGGGGAAGAAACCCTAGAAGAGTCAACAGCTCGGCACAGCAGCCCGAAGGCATGGGTCATAGCCGTGATCCCAGTCCCAGAGGCGTTCGCCCCATTGCCTACTCGAAGTGAGCTGGGCCTGAACATTGACGCCAAGTGGGGTCTCCCCTATTGCATGAGGACACTTGCCCCCCTTACCACACCGCTACATATCCTCAGCTTAGCCGAAGTAGGCAACACAGCCTCTGCAGATCACCTCTTGCAAATGGCAACGATGCCGCTGGAACACAAAACCACTGCACTAGGGATACCCTATTCGTGTCCTGTTTCCTACCATTTTGATGGTGCTGAGGCACTTCAGCAAAGCTTGTTCTCGTTGTTTGCGCTGCTGATAACGGGCGATGCCCCAAGGCATTGTCCGTCAGCCACTGTGCTAGGCATGAAGCTGTGTGGAGCAG